GAGAGGTCTTGCAACCGAAAAAAGAAAAAAAAAAGAGATACTGAGTATTTTAAGTCCTAAGCTTTTTCAGTCATCCTAGTTGAGGTCACAGATGTCAGGGAACGTGCAGAAAAAAATGGACTACTATGTGTATATAGCTATCCTTTACATATTCATAATGGTAACCACACGCCAAAGATTTAGAATTGAAGTATATAACATAAAACAAGAAGGACCAGAGGGAAAACCTACAAAACCCAACCAAAATTAAAATAAATAAATAAATAAATAAATAAATAAATAAATAGATAGATAGATAGATGAATTATTTTTAAATTTTAAAAAGACTATTTGCACCTTTTTAAATTAAATTTCTGTGGTGGTAGTTTTTGCTCTTTTTTTCTTTTTGGAGTTGCTAACACACACACACACACACACACACACACACACACACACAGATAAGGAAGCAATAGAAAGACGAAGCTACCAGAAAGCAAAACGGCTATAGGAAATGAACTCCATGAAATACTAAGTTGCAATGTTACTACTCTTGCCTAAAACCTCTCTGATCTTGCTGGTGGCTACAATTTCCTGTAACATAAGGCCATGCTCCTCCTTTCATTGTCTGGCTTATTCATTCATTCATGCACTCATTCATTCATTCATTCATTCATTCATTTTCTTCCAGCTTCATATCATTCTGAACTTTAAATTCCTGCAACCTAGAGTGTTGGAAGTTTCCTGCATAGATCAGGCTTTTGCTCATGTAGGTCTCTGGAATGCCACCCCATACTTTCAATTCTCAGCTTGGTTAAACCTGATTTACCTTTTAACAACCAAACTAGGGAGCATCACTTTGTGGTAAATGAAAACGGTTTTGAAATCTTTTAGATTAATGTTTGATTATTCCTTTGCTACATTCTATTTGTGTATTTAGACACATTATTTAACGAGGCTAAGCCTCAGTTTCACCATCTGTAAAACAGGGACAGTTATATTAATCATATGACTGTTTTAAGGATTAATTGAAATAATATTTAAAAAGTGCTTAGAAGAGTCCATGGCACATAGTATGTCTTTTTAAATGCGTATAAATAAATATTATTGTCACCTGCTATGTGAAGATGTTCCTGATACCTCCATTCCTGACTGTAGAAGGTATCTCCTTTCTGTTCTTCTAAAATTACCTATCCATATTTCTATTATAATAATTACAGCATTGTAATATAACTTTTTTATATATAATGACTTTCTTCCCTTGATTGTGAATCCTTTCAGTATCATAACCACATCTATTTCATTTTTTTGCATCCCCATGGCTTAATGTTGCACTCTTGGATACTTAGGGAAATTTCTGAAAAATGTAAACACACACTATACCTGTTATTCTGTGACTATGAGGCTTCTTTCTCTCATTTCACAAAAGGGTATTCTAAGATATTTAGAGTTTTTTCTCAACTATTTTATTTCTAACTCTCTGACTTCAAAAAGTCACCCAATACCACAGTTTTTATTTTTTATATATGCTTTCCAGAACTCTAGCCCTGAACTTTCCCCATGCTCTCTATATAACTACCTGTTATAGACTGAATATCTAAATTTTACATCAGATAAATATCAATTACATTTTCCAATCTACCAATGCTAGACATTTGGAGTTATCCTGGACTTCTCCCCCTCTATATACATCAGATTAACCCTGTTTAATTCTATCTCCAAAATGTTTACCAGTCACTCCATCCTTGTATTCTGTCAGTGACTCAATAAGGTCCTTACTGTGTCTCACCTAGATTATTAAAATGGGAGACTTTCCTCTCTTTCTGTCTCCTGTTTCTCTCATCACTTCATTCACTTTCCTCTTCAATGCATGTACACGTCATTGTCAGAGTAAGTTTCCTAAAGCAAAAATCTGATGTATTATATCTATGCTTACAATGGCTTAGGTATAGTACATTGTGAAATGCTAACTAGCCAGAACCAACTCAAGGCCCTTCACAAATGTGGCTGAAATTGTTATTTCTATATATAGTTCCTACAACTCTCCTCTTCCCTTCTCCAAGCACTTTCTATACTGTCATTTAAAAATATTTAAAAGCCCTATTCATGTCCAAAATTTGAAGCTATATAAAATTCTAAAAAATAAAAAATCATAGAAGGTTTTAAAAACTGGACAAAAAATAAACTCCAATCTGTATTTTCCACTATAGACACATGGTGGCACTATCTTAGCTGCCTTACAGCAGTACTGGAGATCCTTTAACATCCTATGAATATGTTATAAATTTGTGCGTGTGCTTATGATGACTATTGTGATATTATTTTAAACATTTATTAATGGCATGTTAGTATTAAAAATGCTCCACAATATCAAAAACGAAATTTAGAGGTGATAAAGTCATAATTTATATATTTTTACTATTATTCCCTTTGTTATGAGTTGAATTGTGTTCCCCTCCAAAAACATGTGTTGAATTCCTAGTCTCTAGTGCATCTCAGAATGTGACTCTATTTGTAGATAATTTTTTAAGAGGTAATTAATTTAGAATGAGGTCGAGTGGGACTAAATCCAATATGACTAATGTCCTTATTTAAAAAAATTAGGACACAGGCAGATACTGAAGGAGAAACATGTGAAGACACAGGGAAAAGATAGCCACCTACAAGCCAAGGAATGAGGTCCCACAAAAATCCAACCTGGCAACACCTTGATCTCGGACTTCTAGATTCCAGAACTGTAAGAAAATACATTTCTGTTGTTTAAGCCCTTTGGTCTGTAGTTCTTTATTATGGTAGCCCTAGCAAACTAATATGTTCTTCAAATATGTTTAAAAACATAAATATGTCTACGGCCATGCTACCCTGAACAAGCCCGATCCTGTCTGATTTCAGAAGCTAAGCAGGGTCGGGCCTGGTTAGTACCTGGATGGGAGACCACATAGGAAGACCGGATGCTATATGAGTAAAAATAAATAAATAAATAAAGGATTGTAAGCTGACAAAGTCCTTGCAATCTGTGAAGACAACCAAGGGGTGGTTTGCCTAAACTACAACTAAATAATAAAAAAATAAAAAATAAAAACGTAAATACAAAAGTGTGGATTAATGTAGTATGTAAGAATGTAATCTTCCTATTATACATTTATTTCTAGAGGAAAATATGTCTTGGTTTACGTGTATTCTTAATTATGTGAGCTTTTTAGAAATCCTTGCTTCAAGTAAAATGCCACTGTCCTAAATCTTGGCCATTTTCCTCTACTGACCATTAACTCGGGACCACATATTTTTACTAACTTATTCTTGCTCAACAGAATTAATGGAGTGGTTAAGGGTGCAGATTCTGAAGCCAGATTGCCTGAGGTCACTGTCCATTTCATCACTGTATGACACTGGGCCACATTTTTCTCAGCTGTACAACAGAATCAATCATAAGAGTACCTTAATCTGTAAGGATTAAGGAAATTGATACATACAAATTGTGTAGGACAGTACTGGGAACACAGTGTACATATGCTGTCCATAATTCCTCTTCTTGATTAGGCTCCAGGTATCTCTTTGAGAAACTTTTTATCCTTCCATGCCCAGGAGAAAATATACCTCCTCTTTGAAACTTTAGTGACTACACCTCTTTTTTCTTCCCAGGTTGAATATTAAATATGCTTGTGCTGTCACAGATATTGCAGAGGAATGAGTCTTGGTTTCCAACAATCTGAATTCAAATATAGATTTTTTCCATTTGTCTATTATACAATTTCATCAATTTGCTTAATTTCTCTGAATTTACATTTCCAGTACGATACCTGACACAGGGATGCTATGTATTTTCCTAATAAAGACAGACTTAATCTGTGGGTTTAGAAATATGTCAACCACATAAGATGTTGCAGTGTTCCCAAAGTGTAAGACTAATGGAGGTGCCAAAATGATTTTGGGTGAGATACTCATGGCATTAAGGACACTGAATCAAACACGGAAAATTCTTTCAATTTTATTTCAATACTGCTGATTAGTTAAGGAGAAAAATCTGTTTGGTTCTATGTTTGTAAATAATTATCGAATGCTTGCTCATCTCTGGTTTTAATCAAGAGATTCAGGGCCTTTAGCAAGTAACATCCTAGCTAGAATTGAATCACCTTTTTTTTATTCATTACACTTATTTTGACTGTTATTTTTTTTTTAACTTAAGTCAAGTCGTAGTACTTTTCCCATTAATGATAATGATACAAATTTTTATTTTAAAATAAATTAAGTATAAAAGGTAAGTTGATTTAAAGAAAATTATTCAGTATATAATAGCAATATGAGGATATGGGGAAAATCAATGAGAATATGTAAATTATTTAAGTTTCGGCAACATTGATTTATATGAACTATTAGGAATCATTATGTTCATTGCATTTCAAGGTAGCTCTTAAGTTCATTCTTTAACAAAGGTGACAGTTCCAATTACTGGTGTTATCAAGTACTGTCATAATTTATAGTAGCTCCAAGAACGAACTAAACAATGCAAAAACACAGCTGCTACTATTGCCTTCCTCTGCACCACATCCTGGATTTTCCAGAAAATCCCATGGGAGTTGGTGGACTAGACACTACGTGTTATATACAGGTCTCATTTTCTTTCATCTACTTAACCAGAGCTCTGCTTCCTGCAAGGTAAACATCTGTTGAAGTCGTAACCTGAAGATGACGGAGACATTAGGGTTTTCCGGTTGTAACTTTTTTCAACCTTCACTTCTGGCCAAAACTTTCCCAGGTTACAATGCAAACAATTTTACTGCCCGTTTCCTTTCGGATGCGCTAAAATATGAGCGACATCACTGACAACGTGGGGAATATATTTAGCCTTCCAGATTTTAAAACAACTGTAATATCACTTAGCCATCTAGTTGGCGGCAAAATCCCACGTTTAGCTAAGAGCACAATTAACATTGCTTGGGAGCGCTTCCTCTCATGTGTTTTCTTAACACCCTTGCGCGGAGGCACGCTAACGTCAAGACGTTTTGCGACGTGCGGACGTCGGCGTGCGGTGCTGCGTCTCCAACCTTCCGCCGGAGCGGCTAGTTGCGGGTTGTAGTCCTCAGCAGGTTTTCCTCTCTGCCTGGGATAGTCAGGTTGAATTTTGTTCGCCGGACCCTAGCCATAGCGTCTTGGAGAAAACTGAGTCGCGGGCGATGGCGCTGGAGCCTCTGGGGACCCTCTCCTGACGCCTCCGTAGCCTGGGAGGATGCAGTTTCTTGTGGGTCCAGGCTGGTGGCGTGGACGCGCGATCACGGCATGTGTCTCCGGGGCTGCCTGTCGGATGCTGCCCTTGCCTCTCCCCGTGCTGAGCCGCGGGGCTGCTGCCCGCTCCAGGGCTCTGGACAGTCTCCACAGCTCTGCAGAGCGCAAGGTGACACCCCTCCCCTTTAGTTTCACATTAACTACGTATTAAAACTTGGGAGGGTGCACCTTGCGAATTTGGAAATGTGAAGGGTTTCCTAGAATTACCTGTGAAATCAGGTTACGATTTTGTAAAGGAGGCGGAGCTGAGCGCGCGCGCTCCGCTGGGGTTTCTGAACTCTCCGTTGCTCACCTGTGACCTTATCCAAGTCACTCCTGAGTTTCCTAATTTGTAACGTCAGTAACTTAATAATTCATGCGAGTCACTGATCTAAGCACTTTGCGTATATATTACATTACTACTCCTAAAATCCTACTGAAGAAGCTTCTATTTGCATTTTCCTGCAATTTATTAGCTGTATGCTCTGGTCAGGGAAGCTTGACCTTCCTGTGAATGTTTCTTCATTTATTAAATGAGGTACTAATAAAACCATCAAATGCCTATTTATGAGCATTACACGATGGAAGGCATAGAACTGAGTCTAATACTTAGAATATAAGAAGAGCTGGATATGTCTTAGCTTCTTTTTATTATTGTATTTTGCATCAGTCAAAGCAAACTTGTATAACCCTGACTATTCTTGTGGTTGGAGAAGGTAGGGGTACAGCACTGTAGAAACTACTGTATCTGTTAACTACGAAGAGATAATAGGTTAGATAGAAAAGTGAAGTAATTGCAAGTTATGAGTAACTGGAGAAAAATAAGACTATATAATATTGACTACATAAAAGTTTTGCCCTTTTCTAAAATGTCTGTAAAATTTAAAATGAATTTATGTCGTAATTCAGATTTCTTAAATATGGTGCAGTTTTGTATCTTTTGAATAAATGACAGGGGAGAAATCTACAGGGCAAACAAATTGTTTAGTTTTTTCCGGAATTTCTTTCAGTATAGATTTTATTGGAAAAATAAAATGTTTATAGAGTCCAAAAAACTGACATGTTTTTCTTGAATATCAACTTTTTAGCAGTTTTTGTAATGAATCTCAATAAAAACTAAAGATGTGTGCAACTAAAAATTAGAATTTACATTTTAAAGTATTTTTGAATTTGAAGTTGGTAAATAAGAGCCTTTTTTTGCTGATGTGATTTTTTTCTCTGTTTAGAGAAGTTGCAAGTAACAAAATTGTATCTAATTTAAACTTTTGAAGGCTCTGGAGCACAGGGTTTTAAAAGACCTGACTTTGGTGATTAAATGTATTATAGAGGAAAAGGTTTTTTTTTTCTTTTAGCTTTTCTGTCGCTTTTTGCCTCAAGAGGTTTTGTTAAACATGGTGTTCTAAGGCAGTTCTTGAGTTCTAGGTACCTTGTGTTCTCCATTCCTGAAAATAAATTCAGTTCCCCATAAGTGGTGGAAATATTATAAGTAGTGGAAATATTATAAGGAACTTTTATTTAGCTGTATGGTCACTTTTGACAGTGAAACTAATGTATTCAATGACTCATATTGTAATTCACTGTAGTATGAGTTTAGCCATACATAACTTTGTCAGAGGAATAACATAAACAATATAAATGCTATTAATGAAATTGTTCAAAGAAGGCTAAAAGAATATTCTTTGAATTAGTATACTTATTTCACATTGTGCCAGATTTATAACTTATAAATGTAATATTTCTCACCCCTTTCTAGGAAAAAATTGACATGTCTAGATTCCCTGTTGAAAATATTAGAAATTTTAGTATCATCGCACATGTGGATCATGGCAAAAGTACTTTAGCTGACAGGCTCCTAGAATTGACAGGTATTTTCATTTTATATACTTAATTGATGGCAATGAGTAATTGATAATTACTTTTATCATGCTTTTTGCAATTTGGTTTTAATTTTATGTGCAGTATTGTTTCTTTTTAAAAGCCCTTAGATAAATCATGCATTTCTATTTAAAGGGACAATTGATAAAACAAACAATAATAAGCAAGTTCTTGATAAATTGCAAGTGGAACGAGAAAGAGGAATCACTGTTAAAGCACAGACAGCATCTCTCTTCTATAATTGTGAAGGAAAGCAATATCTTTTAAATCTCATTGATACACCAGTAAGTTTAATATTAATTTTGTCTCCATTGTTAAAGTCAGCCTTGTATTAATAGTATAAACAAATCCTAGTTTAGTTTTCGAACTGATATTAGACACCTAACTTTGCTTTTTGTTTTCTCATTGTTCTTAGGTTAGTGTAAATTGTTTTACAAATGTGGGCTAAACAAAAGAAACCTATTAACTTTTTTCCAAGTGGAGTCAATAGGTTTGCCATAACCTAAGCTAAAACAATTATAGCTAATATTTAGAGATATCGATATTTTTTGTTTCTCAGGGCCATGTTGATTTTAGTTATGAAGTATCCAGGTCACTGTCTGCTTGCCAGGGTGTTTTACTTGTGGTTGATGCAAATGAGGTATGTACTTTTAATTGTATATGATGTAACATACTATTTGGTTGTTTCGAGAGGTTATTTTTTAAAGTGTTTCGAAAATAGAATTTTTATGTTTGATAAAAATAAGATTTATTGTATCACTTAACCAAAGTTATATGCTTTGGTCCTGTTAATTTGACGTTATACTAAAGCATTTTGTGAAATTGACTTGTTCATCTTTTAAAATTTTTTATCTGATCAGAGGAATTATTCAATTGTATTTTTGTCGAAGTATGTCATATTATATATCCTACCAAAAAACTCAGTTTTTAAGTTTTTAATCTCAGTTTTCCATATCAATTTTTAGGAGAACTTGAATGTAAATCTTTATTTTTGAGGTCTTTTTTGGATGATTTAAAGGTAATAATATGTGACGTGTTAAAGAAACATGTCAATAACATTACCCATTTATTTTGTGGTATAAATATAACCATAAAAGCATGTTCAACAATTGAACATGTAAGAACTATGATATACTATTTAAAATAAAGCTTTTGATATATTCACTTTCTCACAAACTCCATCCAAACCCCAAAATGTTTTATTTGTTGTGTTAAACTTTCCCTGATTCTGTCAGAGAAAGTCAGTCTACCTTATATATGTAGTACTGGGTTTATAAACTGCATCACATGACTCTATTCTGTAGTAGGCTCTGATGACCTTGAGAGTCTTTGTGTCTCTAATGCTGAACACAGTTCCCTCCAACAAATGCTTCCTGAACTGAAATAAATTTCACAGGGAATAATCCAGATCCATGGAAGTATAGATGCTGTAGTTTGCCTTATATTCTGCTTTTGATGAAGATGTGTGGTATGATCTTGAATTACATGTTTTGTGACATGATAGAATGAGCCTCTCAGAATATTGTGTTGATATTCCAGGGTATTCAAGCCCAAACTGTAGCAAACTTCTTTCTTGCCTTTGAAGCACAGCTATCAGTGATTCCAGTTATAAACAAGGTAACAATGAGAGAACAATGCTATTTATTACTTTCTAAAAGTAAATTTAGTGTTTGAGTATCAAGTGTACTTTTTTTATATGAGGGAACTTCAGCTGTTTATTAAATATATTGATGAAATTTATGTCTTTGAATTGCACGTGATGGAATTGTAACTTCTATACCCTTGCATGTAGTTGAGAAGATAGTTTCTCTGAATTACATGGAGTGATGGAAGGCTGTTTCTATAGGAAAGGTATATGTGCAGGGCAGCTAACATATGTCTGTTATGCTAAACTACATATAGGAAACGAAAAGGAATTTGTGATCTAGGAGGAAACAATGTAATATAACATGAAATATAACAGTTAAGGAAACGAAAAGGAATTTGTGATCTAGGAGGAAACAATGTAATATAACATGAAATATAACAGTTAAGTGCTAAACTGAGCACTGTGTATAAACTGTAACTTTGTATTTTAAATTTTAAAATTAATAAATTAAAAATTTTAATTTAAAAATCTGCATTGCATTGTTATATTTTTTGGTATTGGGGTTAAGTTTAAAAGAAGCAGGATTGCCCATAGGTAAGACTGTTTTTGTAAACTGTACCTAACTTAAAGTCAACTTATATGGTGTTAATTAATAAATTGTTATTGAACTCTTCTACTGCCTTGAGTAGCTTACTGCCTAAATTTTTTGCATGCTCTTCTGTCTTCCCTGTTTTTCAATGGCCATGCTTATTAAAATTGTATTGACTATATATGTCATTTTAATACTTTTGAAAGAAAAATCATGGATAGCTTTTAGCTATCTCCAAGTACTCTTAACTAATATTTAATACATTTTATTTATTAAGTTAAGACATGATGAATTGTTTTTTAAGATAGATCTGAAGAATGCTGATCCTAAAAGGGTTGAAAAACAAATTGAAAAGGTGTTTGATATTCCAAGTGATGAATGTATTAAGGTAAAATACCTTTATTTATTTATTTATTTTATTTATTATTATTATTTATGCCTACAACACTTGGCTTCCTAGGTGGTCTCTCATCGAAGTACTAACCAGGCCCATCCCTGCTTAGCTTCCAAGATCAGACGCGGGGCTTGTTCAGGGTAGCATGGCCATAGACCATGGACCGTGGCTCCACTGGGGCGCGAACCCAGGAACTTCTACGTGTAAAGCAGACGTGCTAACTGCTACACTAAAGAACCATGTCCCTTTTATTTTTTTTTTAAGACTTGATTATACTTTGTAAAACCTCAGATATTTGGCCTAAGTGAAATTTCATAGTTTTTGATAGCCCATCATTATATAATATTTTTAATAGTTTTACAAAGTTCTTTTTACTAATACTTCATTTGCTCTTAACCCAAATTCCTTGTTACATGGTTAGGACAGACAGGAATTATTCTTGTGATGCTGTTGAAAGAACTAAGGCTCAAAGATTTTGTCAGTTAAAATTACAGATCTATAGTTAGCTAATTTGTCAGGACTAAAATGTAGGTTTTCTGCAACACATTACAATATTCTTTTTTGTATGCCATTTTGCCTCTATGGAAATATTCTCTTGAAGAGCAGGTCCAAACTAATTTTAGGGCATTTGTATGTTGGAATTGACAAAGACCTTTTTTTATTTTTTATTTTATTTTATTTTTTTATAAATAGCTAGCTAGAGTAATAATAATCTTAGGAAACAATAGATTTTATTTACATCCAAGTAATACTATTTTAAATTTGAATTTTTAAATTTACCTTTCAAATGTTGGTTTGGGCGTTAAATAGCCACAACCACACTAGGCTAAACTATGCTACATGCTTATGTAGTAAGTATATCAGAGCAACAGTATGTTTAGATTACACTTTCAATCTTGTTTGATTTTTGAAAAAACAACTTTCAGGTGTTGAGTGCTTTTTGTCTGTTTACACTTCACACAGTAGATGATTACATACAACTTGGTAATGACTGAAAAGCAATAATTTTTTTTCTTAGATACACATACACACAGAATTTAATGGTTTTTAATATGAATGGGACGTTATTATAAGGCACTCCTGGAATTATGTTTTCATAATTTGGATTATGTTATATTAAAGTATAATTAACTATTCTGATTTTAATACATCTTTATACAATTCATTTAGATACTTATTTGCTTGTTGCAGCTAGGGATACAGCAATGAACAGACAGACAAGACCCCTATCTCATTGTGTTTATATTCTACTTGGGGGTGCAGTCATTAAATAGTAAATAAAGAAGTAAGTGTAGTGATTATTGAATGAGACAGATGTCATTCAACAAATTGTATTTTCAGGTAGAATACCATAGTTAACAATGGAAAAGTCTTGTTTTTCAGAGAGATGCTGTGGTACAGACTAACTTAGAGAAGGTCTCTCTGATGAGCTAAGGCCTGAAGAAATGAAAAGTTGGGAGAAATGCATTCCAGGAAGAAGAAAGAGCAAGTGTAAAGGCTTGGCATGTTTGGCAAGAATTAGCATGATTTAGGGACAGAAAGCAGGCAAGTTAGATGAGATGGCTTTGGAGTAGCCAGAAATCAAGTCATGCTGAGACTCTTGCTATATACTAAAGAGTTTGAAAATTATTCTAAGATAATAAAGGATTTTAAAGCAAGAGAGGAAATAAACTGATCGTTCAGGTTTCCTTATAGAGAATGTGTTGGAAAAGAGTAAGAAGAGATAGGGGAAACCAGCGTGCAGTAATAACTCAGGTGCAAAATGGTGGTGGCTAAGTATATGATGGTAATGTTGGAAAAGGGGACAAATTTGATGTATATTTTATAGATGTAATAGATTTGTTGGTGAGTTATATGTAAGGAAGTGAAATAAAAGGAAGAATCAGGAATCTTTGGGTTTGAACAATTAATTGAATACTGGTGTTAATATGGAGTGGACCTGGAAAGGAACAAATATAGGGGGAAAATAAAAAGCTCTGTTTTGGGCATAGTGTCTACTATTAGAAATGTCTACTACATGCCCAAGTAGAGATAGCGCATAAATCTACAATTCAGGCAGTCACAGAGAGAGTTGGTTCAGAGATAGATACTGAGAAGTTATTAGCATGTTTGTAGTATTGAGGCCATAGAAATGGATGCAGTTTCCTAGGAGTAAAGTATAGATAGAGAAAAAGGTCCTAGAAGTCATGTTACATTATTGTCAGTTTTTACGGTGTTTTGAGTAAGAGTTTGAGTAAGAGTTTAGAGAGAGTAGGATTCAGAATAGAAGTGTGGAAGGATTGAATTTTCAGGGAAGTGGGAATACTCGTTATAACAAGAGAAGGCAAAGAGGTTGTGGGTATAGGTGCAGATGGATTTATATGTTTGGATAAAGGAGTTTTTGATGTTTTCTGTTTCCTTAAATGAAATGAGGCAAAGTTATCAACTGAGTGAATTCTCCAGAGGAGAAAATGTAGATTGAAGGAAAGTGGTGTGAATTATCTTACTGAATAGCACTGTGAATTTACTAGGGGACATACCCTGGGAGTGCCAGGAAGTGTTAACTACATAGTGAGACTTGTGGTCATGAATTCACAAGAAACTAGCCAGACCACTTACTTGATTTTTCTCCACTAATGTTAAACTGCTCTGGTAATAAGCATAGAAAAGGCATATAGTTGGATGCATTCACAGTTGAGATTTTACCATCTGCTTATGCTCTTCGAGAGAATAGAAAGCAGTTGAACAGTGATCGTAAATAGTGGACCTTGGAGTCTCAGCTGAGAAAGAAGGGGGCAGGGGACTAATGAATAATGAAAAAAGTATTCCATTCAATGGATTAGAAATGGTGATCTTAAAGGATTGTTGCAAACAAGTTACTAGAGTCTGGAGCAGTGGTTCTCATTAGGGGTCAGTTTTACACCCAGGAAACATTTGGTAATGTCTGGAGACATTTTTTGTTGTCACACTGAGAAGTGAGTGCTACTGGCATCTTGTGGATTGATGAGATTTCATGGTTGCTGTTAAACATCCTACAGTGCACAGAACAGCCCAAATGTCCTTATTGCTGAGTTTGAAAAACTGATATAGAGGGAGTTTAAAGGGTAAGAGGTGGTATTCAGGTAATGGGTTTTGAAATCAAGATTTCAGAGACAGTCCAATTACTGATGATGACAAAGGTCAGTCATGCACATGAGTTTTGAGTCTTTTGGCTTGCTTTTTCAGTGAGAGAACAATAGTAATTATGTACTTTATAATTAGTGTATGTATATTGCTTAATCTCTCCACACAACAACCTTGAGATTTAGGCAAAATAAGAATAATCACTTATCAGATGAGAAACTTGAAGCATGAAGAAGTATGCACAGGTCAAAGTCTACATTCTATGCAGAATCATGATTGTTAACCTAGAATTTTTTAACTCTTAGACCACTGCTCTTTCAACACCATAATCAGAATGCTTTTATAATTTAATCCAAGAAACACAGAATCACCTAACTGTATTGGAAGGACATTTGTCAATACACTATATGCTTTGTGCTTCCTTTTACTATGTTCAAACAAATTGTAACTGTTAGTTCTTTCTTTTTTCTGATCATAAAGCTCCATCACTAGAATAGAAGAAAAGTAGAGCTTTAAGTTTAAATGTTTGTTTTTTTCACATGTGCTCCCAGTTCTTTTTTATTAAATTTATTTAGGTAACATTGGTTAATAAAATTATATAGGTTTCAAGTATACACTTCAATAATATATCATCTGTATATTGCATTGTGTGTTCACCACCCAAAGTCAGATCTCCTTCTGTCACCATATATTTGACTCCCTATACCCTTATCTATCTCCTCCTCTACCCCCTCTTTCTGGTAACCACTAAACTGTTGTCTATGTCTGTGAGTTTTTGTTTGTCTTGTTTGTTTGTTGCTTTTTAGTTTTATATCCCACATACGAGTGAAATCACCGTACGTATATATTTTTAGATTTCTGCTAAACTTGGAACAAATGTTGAAAGTGTTCTTCAGGCAGTCATCGAAAGAATACCCCCGTAAGTATTTTGCTATTTTTATACTGTTCATTAATCTTTAATAGTACACAGACCATCCGTTTGATCTGTTATTGTGGCTTATTCAATATGGGAAATATACTCTTGTGGCCAAGGAGAATAAATTTTTAAATTTATTTTTAGTAATATATGGAGGGCAAACACAGTACAGGGAAATAAGAAAAAACGAGAATAGGGATCTCCTCTTAACAATCATTGTAAAAAGAGACTTGAGAATATTGACTGTTCTTTGCTTTAATACTGAACAAATATATTTCATCAGTTTTGTAAGTAATTTTAAAAGTCATTTATTTAAAACATGAGATTGAATTAAAACTAATATAGAAATAGGCATTGTACCTTATTTTAGAGAAAGATCTTTTTATTTTGGCTATCAGTTATCAACCTTTCTTAAGTATTAGAATGTATTAAGCATAATATTTGAGTTAAAAAAAGGCATTTTATTAATATTTTAATTTACTATGTGTGTATTTACTTTTTACTTATTTTTAATAGTCCTAAAGTACATCGCAAAAATCCCCTGAGAGCTTTGGTATTTGACTCCACTTTTGACCAGTATAGGGGTGTGATAGCCAATGTAGCGTTGTTTGATGGAGTGGTTTCCAAAGGAGATAAAATTGTATCTGCACATACTAGAAAGACATATGAAGTTAACGAAGTGGGAGTTTTGAATCCTAATGAGCTGCCAACTCATAAACTGTAAGTCATCTACATTAATAATTAAAATACATTTGTATGTGTTTCTGTTTCATTCTTTCTCAACTCGGTATACTTCCAATGATCCCAATGTGATGACTTAGAAACAAAACAAAACCTAATTATTTAATGCAACAATAGAGTAAATGCTCTTTTAAAAAGAATCTCATGTGTGAAGGACAGTAAAAAGATTTGATATCTTTTTATTCCTCCTGACTAGTTACAACTAATTTTATGATCTGGTACAGATTGGATTCTGTATGTATTTGATGAGACAGTGAAAGAAATAGTTCCCTCGCCTATATCCATATCCATATCAGGTATCATTTTGACAATTTTTTTATGATTAGATTTTTCAAAATAAAAGTGAAGAATATTTGGTAATTCTTTTCTTTAGTATAGAATTCATGGTAAAACTTGGATTGACTAGAATTCGTGGCCCATGGGGTTAGCAAGGTACTGTGTATTGGAAAAACTGAGTTCTGAGTTTACTTATTAATATTTGAGTGCCTACTCCATCAGTACTTCAGATACTGATGAGATAAATTACCTTGGGCAAATAGTTGGAGCTTTCTATCCTCATCTGTAAAAATTAAGGTATTGAATCAGGTGACTGTATTGGTCACACTTGATAGTTTAATGTCGTATATCTGAAACTAGCATGTTTTGCTCACTGCATTTTTTTATCAAGTCATAAAGTATTTTAATTTTATGCAAATATTTCTAAAGTCTGTCTGTATTCTGCCATATATATCGTATACCAGCTGTTACTACATGTCAAAACAAGAAACTCATACCTTATACTAAATGTAAATTAGTTTGTTATCATGTAGGAAATTTACTTAAAAGAAAAACAGAATAAACATTACTCCGAAATGTTGGGATTTGCACTTTTCTTAGAACAGGAACATCAGATATAAGTCAAATTTGTTGAGAGTTCACATATTTCTGCTTGGTTAAAAATTAATCTTGTTCTTTCTTTTAAAGCACATTTGTAACACAATTCATTGATAAAATAGTGTTTCACACTACATTACAAGAATTGTTTTGTTTCTGCACTTACCAGATTCACTATGTTTACACTGTATTTTACAAGCTGTTGTTTAATGTGCAAAGGTGGGCAAAGTCATTAAAAAGGTCTTAGGCTTGTTGTATTGTAGAAGTCCTTGGTAATGAATTTTAAGGCATCGTATATTCTTTTGCTGCTAATCCTTAGAGTTGAGAGATATGTAGCACTTTGAGTTTCATGAGGTTTTTGTTTGGAAAGTGATCATTTCTTGGAAAGGTAGAGCTTATTGTGTATGCGTTTGAAACATTAAAGCAGTAAATATTTCCATATAATAATTTTATTTAGATATGCAGGACAGGTGGGCTATCTGATTGCTGGGATGAAAGATGTCACTGAAGCACAAGTAGGAGATACATTATATTTACATAAACAACCAGTGGAGCCCTTGCCTGGGTTTAAATCAGCGAAACCAATGGTATTTGCAGGTGAGGAGCTCACAGATTCAAAGAATGAGGGCCAATTTATTCTGTAAATTAAAATAAAAAGTACTAGAAATACTCATTTTAAATAACAGCTATTTCCAGGATACTCTTTGTTTTGTGTGTGTGTGTGTGCTATTTATATGTTAGCCAATTTCATATGTATAGTAAAACTTATGTGGGAGATAATTTCTAAAAATTTTTTAGGACTTCATAAGAAACAGGCTGTTAAGAAACAAGCTATTTGATGTATAGAAGAGCATACTAATATGAATTTCCCAAATGGTCCCTATATTTGATGTATTTTTCTAATTAGAATGTTTTTATTACTGAGTACCTCCCCCTTAGCTGGCTTTTCTTTAATATTGTGTTGTAATAGTGTAGACATGGCAGAGAATGTTGTCACCTCACATATGTGTAACTTCACATCCTTTTACTACTGTGTGGAGTTATAGATATTTGAAAAATAAGACCTATTTGAAGGTCATCATGTTACTCTGTGAAGGATATCCATCCAGACCTTGTTTTTCTCCCTTTAGTATCTCTTATTAGGAATTATAAACTTTGTTTATCTCTGCCTTTAGGCAAAGTTAGTCCTTTGGATTTGGAGTTCAGAGGTGAGGACTTCAGGTGTCAGATAAAAGAAAATCTAAATAACAATAACTTCATAGTTTTTGTCAGCGAATTAAAAAAACAAAATTTATCCTTGTCTTTAATGGATAATCTGCCCTAGAGAATTACTAACTAAGTCAGTGTAGTTTTCATTTATACTCCTATTTTTTATCTGCTAATGCAGTTTCATTTGTGGTTGCGGAACGTCTTCCACTTTTGTTTCTTGAAATAAACAGAGTGTATTTTCCTAGGTCTAATTCCCATCATTCTTTTTTGTTTTATCTATATTTTTTCAAAATCATAAAAACACCACTTGGAATATTAATCCAGTGTACATTCATTAAGGGTATGAAACTTTCAGTACACTTTGAAGTCAGTGTAACTTAATATTCATAGTTTTTTTTAGCAAACCAGTATTTTGTTGAATAAAATATAGGGAAGTTATTAAAAAGCTAAATGATTGATTTTGACCTTGGAAGCATTGCATATTTAGTTCTTTTCTTTAGGCAGCTTTTCACATGTGATAACTAGAAATCATTGTGTTCTCAGGAATGTACCCTGTAGATCAATCTGAATATAATAACCTGAAGAGTGCTGTAGAGAAACTGACTTTAAATGATTCCAGTGTGACAGTTCATCGGGATAGTAGCCTTGCCCTAGGTGCTGGCTGGAGGTAAGATTCACCTACATTGTAGGTTTTCATTTTTATTGAAAAGTAAAGTTTAAATGGTTTATTGCTCCTGAACATTTCTGAGGATAAGTTCATATTAGTGTGAAGTGAAATAAAACAATATCTGCCTATTTATTTCACACTGTGGAATTCATATCCAATGGGTAAGTTTTGTAGCGATTTTTCAATAGAATTCCAGTGAAACATTTGAATCTTAATGAAATTATGCCAGTATTCAATTACGATGTGAATTGCTTGAATAACTCTTTATTCCACCCTTTCCTCACAAAGTAAAAATATATTCATCAAAAAAAATAGAGCCCATGGGACAGAAACATTTTGGAATTTGGCTTTTTCTCCCTCAGATTGGGATTTCTTGGACTTTTGCATATGGAAGTTTTCAACCAGAGATTAGAGCAAGAATATAATGCTTCTGTTATTTTGACAACCCCTACTGTTCCATACAAAGCTGTTCTTTCATCAGCAAAATTGATAAAGGTACTGTTGTGAATCAGGAACAAGGAAAAACTTTGCTTGTGTGTGTGTGTGTGTGTATGCGTGTGTGTGCAGAATGCAAGAGAACTTTTTGTATACCATTAGCTGACTAGCTGTTAAAGTTAAAGATTTATGCAGTATTCTTCTTAACTTGGTAAAATCTCTACATTGTCATTACTGGTCTGTTACTGAGGGTAAAAAGTAGCATTAGTAATGAAAATGCTGTTGAAAAGCCAGCATAAGGACGAAGAATATATTTTTGGTTATAAGTAATTTATTTTATAAAAAAGTGAAACATTCATTCCTACCTGGCAGTAGAGCTGTAGGAGAGTTTAGATTTCAGGTTAATGATAAAGACAGTATTCCATCTAAGTGGCAATCCGTTAATTTTAAACAAATGTTAACTTTGGCATTGATAAATATTTTCCAACAATATTAACTTAGGAAACTTATTATAATGCTTTATAAAAGGCAGATTAAATTGTAGTATTACATCATACTTTTCTAAATGGTACATGAAATGCGTTTACTAAATGTCAATAACCAGAATATATTACTTATTATAATTTTTATTAATGTTAAATGAGTATAATTGGAGGGTTTTTTTAATCTAAAGCATGTTAAAATAATATTAGAATATTAGGAATTCTGTTTATTGCAATAAATTCAATAACAAAATAAATTTAACATATACTATAAATTGAAAGCAAATTTTAAAACATGGTAATTATTTATTAAGACTTTAATTATTGGTGATTTTTCTTATTTTTAGGAATATAGAGAAAAGGAAATTACAATCATCAATCCTGCACAATTCCCTGATAAATCAAAAGTAACAGAATATTTGGAGCCAGTTGTTTTGGGTACAGTTATCACACCAGATGAATATACTGGAAAAATAATGATGCTTTGCCAGGTATAAATGTAATACAGTTTAATAGAAAAGTAAATTTTAGTTCTCTCAAGCAGTGGTTCCCTGCTCAGGTTTTGAAAGATTTTTCTCTGTGGAGCACACTGAATTTATAAGAAGTTTTCAAAAAGAGATACACACACATAGATACTTATACTTTAAAATTATTTTTATTTTAAATTAAAAAAAATAGCGCCAGAATTTTGATCATCTTTGTTAATTTACTGAATGGATATTTTTGCACAGAGGAAAGAAATTTGATGCTTATTTATCTTGAGTTGCTGAAAATATACTTTCTCTTAGCCTTTTTAGGACTTGATATTGAATACACATAATTATAATGAGATACCTTTGGGAAGTGTTTCCCATATTGCTTTAGTTCTCGCCACATTGTAATCAATGATTTATTACAAAATCATTCCAAAATTGGATATAATCATAATCCTCAAAAATACCTTTTTGAAATACTCTGTCATGTATTCAAAAGAATTCTCAAATGATGGCTAGTGGACATGAATCTTAATTGTTATCACAAACTAGATTATAATTTTGTTTAGTCACTTACTTTCCCTGGACCTAAGTTTCTTTATTTGTAAAACAAGAAATTAGAACTTTGACTTTATCTGTAGTTATATTTGACTTATTTTTAAATGAACTACTCTATAATTAAAAAAGATAAAATTGTTAGATGAAGGATTAAAAGCTTTGGTAGGAAGTATATTGTGATTGCAATACAAAATGGTTCTCCCTGTATTATAAATATTGCTTGCAAGTTTTTACTAGGCAATTAATAAGTATTCATTTTGTAAACTCTTTATTAGGACTCATAAGGAAATTTTTAAGTTGGTAATTGACATCTTTATATTTTAAATCATTCGAATAGGCTATAATTAAACACATTTTTTTTCTGTCTTTTTTAGGCTCGAAGAGCAATTCAGAAGAATATGGTGTTTATTGATCAAAATAGAGTTATGCTTAAATATCTCTTCCCTTTGAATGAAATCGTGGTGGATTTTTATGATTCTTTGAAATCCCTGTCTTCTGGATATGCTAGGTAAAAATTTAAGGGAAATTCAGATATTTGGACAGTTTTTTTTAAATACTGACTAGGAAGAGTATCTTATCTATCTCTCTTTGTATTCTGCATAGTATTCAATATGATATCTTTCATATAGTAAATGCTTAATTATGTTTGTTGAGGAAAGAAAGGATTTTAGCAACACTTTAGGAAGTAATCTTTTTTTTGGCATATTAGTATCACCTTGTGACCTCCTTGCTTAAAACTTTTAGAAAACATTTGCAACTCTAGGCACCAGCTTGTTTTAAAATTAAGACAATAGTATATTTGTTCTTATCCATAATTGGAAAGACTTGTAAGCATAAGTTAAACCTGTCTATTTTGATGAGCATTGTAAGCTTTTACCATATTGTTAATATTAATAGCTGCCACTTACTAAGTGCTTATATGTGCTTTGCTAGGCTCTTTTTTGTTTTATTTTTATTTTTTTTTATTAGGGTTATTGGGGTAACATTGGTTAATACAATTATATAATTTTCAGGTGTACATTATAATTTGACATCTGTATATTCTATTGTGTGTTTACCACCCACAGTCCAGTTTCCTTCAGCTACCATGTATTTGATCCCCTTAACCTGCTTCACCCTCCCCCAACCCCCTATGTTTGACCCCCTTTATCCCTTCTACCTAACCCCTCCTCCCCTACCCTCTGGTAACCACTAGTCCATTGTCCATGTCCATGAGTCTCTGTTTGTGTGTCCTGTTCATTTGTTGCTTTTAGGTTTATATTCCACATGTAAGTGATATCATTTGATTTTCAACTTTTTCTGTCTGGATTATTTTGCTTAGTATGATTATCTCAGAGTCCATCTATATTGTCACAAATGGCAGTATTTCATCTCTTCTTATGGCTGAGTAATATTCCATTGTATATATGTACCACACCTTCCTTAGCTAATCATCTGTCGTAGGACACTTCGGTTGCTTCTGTGTCCTGGCCACTGTGAATAATGCTGCTATGAACATCGGTGTGCAATTATCTTTTCGGATATGGGTTTTTGAATCTTTGGGGTAAATATCCAGTAGAAGGATTGCTGGATCATATGGTAGATCCATTCTTAGTTTTTTGAGGAATCTCTATACTGTTTTCTATAGTGGCTGTACCAATTTATGGTCCCACTGGCAGTGTATGAGGGTTCCTTTTTCTCCACATCCTCTTTAACACTTGTTATTACTTGTCCTGTTGATTATAGCTATTCTAACAGGTGTGAGATGGTATCTCGTTGTGGTTTTGATTTACATTTCCAAAATAGCTAGTGATGTTGAGCATCTTTTCATATATTTGTTGGCCATTTGTATGTCCTCTAGAGAGAAGTGTCTGTTCAGGTCCTCTGACGATTTTTTGATTGGATTGTTTGTTTGTTTTGTTGTTATTGAGTCGTATGAGTTCTTTGTATATTTTGGATATTAGGCCCTTATTGGACACATTGCTTGCAAATATATTTTCCCATTCTAATGGTTGTCTCCTTATCTCGTTGATGATTTCTTTTGCTGAGCAGAAGCTTTTTAGTTTGATGTAGTCTCATTCATTTATTTTTGCTTTTACTTCCCTTGCCTTTGAGGTCAAATTCATAAATTCCTCTTTAAGTCCAAGGTCCTTGAGTTTCATTCCTATGTTTTCTTCTATGAATTTTATTGTTTCAGTTCTTATATTCAGGTCCCT